CCCCCCCCCCCCCCCCCCCCCACCCTCCATAAGCCATGACAAACTTTAATATTTTAGGACAAGCAAAATACAATCCAGTAACACCAAAGAAGTCTGTGTTTTTTTTTAGTTTTTTTTTTTTACAAAAGCACAATTCTTGGAATTGTACTTGAGGCAGGCCTTCTCGGTAGAGGTGCTACAAATTCAGGACCGCCAACAAGAGAACCATCTTCCTTGCCTATTTCAATCACTCAGTCCCAAAGGTGCTTTTTCCAAAACGCGACTGGACGTTGTTTATTTTTTTCCTTTGAAAACGTTTCGTGTCTCGTGCAAGAAGCTTCTTCAGTTCTAGCTGAATTAGAACCAGGGATGGGCTGCTGGGGTTTCTCAGGGGCTCGGGAGAACCTCTAGCTAAGATTCTATGCAGTTTGGAGAACCCCCAAATCCCACTCCTGGCTGGCCCTGCCCACCCCACCCCTCCCCTCCCAGGAGTCCCCAAGCAGCCCTATTTGGATGCAGTAAGTACAGGGCGCGCGCGTAAGCTCAGGGCCTATCGGAAGTTTGGGAAGGTCGGAAACAGGCCCATTTATGGCCTCCAAAGGGCCTCCGGAGCCTGGGAAGGCCATTTTTGCCCGCCCGGAGGCTTGAGGAAAACCTCCGGAGCTCAGGTAGGGCAAAAATGCCCCGCAATGGTGCAGGAGGCTGACTAGGCCACGCCCACCATGACCACACCCGCCCAGCAACCGGGCAGAGAACCCCTTGCTAAATTTTTTGAAGCCTACCCTTGATTAGAACTGATGAAGCTTCTCGGATGAGAAGTAAAACGTTTTCAAAGGAAAAACTCCCCCCCCCCACCCCCGAAAGTCCAGTTGCCTTTTGGAAAAAGCACCTTTGGGACCACCATGACCTGGATGATTGAGAATCTCTGTAGGCTTTCAATCCCTAGATCTCCCCATTTGTTTCACTCTTCACCTCAACATTAAGCTGCTTACCTTCCGGGCGTTCAGAGATCCCCAACTGTAGCCAATCTATATTGAGGCTGTACTGGCTGCTGATGCTGGAAGTGCGGCTGCCGAAAGGATGCAAAGGAATTGTGCCTATCACTAGTGGCAACTCCAGGAGCAGCTTGGAGGTCCCTGGGATGTCAACACAGACCTGTCGATAATAATTAAAAAAAAGCCCACCATTAGCTTTTAGGGGGAAAAGCATTTCCATCCAGCATTTCCAGTTTTCCTTAAATAAAGCAAGTGCAGGCTTCTTTGTTCTACATCTCAAAAGCTAAGGCTGCATTTCATTTTGCATGCTTTGCAGAAGATAAAGGTAAAGGTTCCCCTCGCACATATGTGCTAGTCGTTCCTGATTCTAGGGGGCGGTGCTCATCCACGTTTCAAAGCTGAAGAGCCAGCGCTGTCTAAAGACATCTCTGTGGTCATGTGGCCGGCATGACCAAATGCCGAAGGTGTCCGGAACGCTGTTACCTTCCCACCAAAGGTGGTCCCTATTTTTCTACTTGCATTTTTTTACCTGCTTTCGAACTGCTAGGTTGGCAGAAGCTGGGACAAGTAACGGGAGCTCACTCCGTTATGCAGCGCTAAGGATTTGAACCGCCAAACTGCCGACCATTCTGATCGACAAGCTCAGCGTCTTAGCTACTGAGCCACCACGCCCCTTTTCGTTTAGCTTTAAGTGAAGACATTAAACATTTTTCTAGTTCTGGGCACTATACCTTAAATAGGATTCAAATTGCAACAGGGGAAAAGGGCAGTGAGAAAGATTGTGGGAGCAGGGGGAGAAACCAAATCCTGTGAGTCTGAGTGAGGATGCTTAGCTTCTATTATTCCAAATAGCAATAGCAATAGCAGTTAGACTTATATACCGCTTCATAGGGCTTTCAGCCCTCTCTAAGCGGTTTACAGAGTCAGCATATTGCCC